CGCTCATCCCGTTCGTCCCCACCGCCTTTTTCCGACACGGAAAAGCAACACGCGGGTCGCGGGTGCTGTGCGCGAACTCGCAGTTGTGCGACGTCTGCGACAGACCCAAAAAAGAAAGTAGTTTTTTCTTTTGTTGACGTAGTTTTTTTCCCCCTCGATTTCCAAATGTGATCCTTGCGCAGGAGCCATGCTAAACGAACTTTCCCGATGCAGGGCCTGCAAAACGACAAAAAGAAGGAAAACCGGTGCATCTTGCCATTTTCTACCTGAGGACCCAGTCTCATTTTCGAACATCTGGAGAGCTGCGGAGCGAACGCTTGGTACTCTCCACGTGCGCAAAAAACAAAAAAGATGGCAATGTTACGATCCTGGTCAATTCCGAAGTATACATTCATTTGGAAGTACAATGCCATCCAATTGCAAAAAGAAATGAATGAACTTGAGAGGAAAGAGAGCGAAAAAAGAAGAAGAAGAAGTGAGAAGAAAGAAGATGATGATGTACTCCAGCATAGACCAATGTCAAGGCGCTTCTTCTTCGCCAACCAATCCCTTCCTCCTTATCTCCTCCCCTCTTATTCAAACAAAAAATAACAATAATAATGTTGAATGACTGAACCAGAATCAATGTCTGAATCCCACTTCTACTGCAGGCACAACATGAGGTCCACCATAGCCATGGCCACCCTTCCTCTTCCTCTTCATGTAAGCCGAGGCTATGGCGGACTACTGAGGCTCTACCCTCCTGTCCAAAGGACAACGYAAAGCAGCTATGTCGCTGCCCTCCTGTCCAAGGTCAACATCAGGCAGCTATGTCGCTGCCCACTTAGCCACCATGCCTGACTCTGTCCCGAACTTCCTTGATGCGGCACTACCCGCACTGGGGCCTTCCTGATGTAGCGCCTAGCAAGGAGATGAAGATGGTGTCTACCATAGCCAGTAAGTGCCTCGCCACTCTCCTCCTTGGTCCCCTTCTCCCTCCTCCTACCGGTAGAGCTCCACCATAGCCAAGGYGGAAGCTCCCGGCTTCTTCCTCCCAGCAGCGCTATAGTACCCAGCGCCACTCCAGCCAATGCTCCAGCAGCGTGTCGCCAAACTTGCACACTGAAGAATGAGGCTGGGCTCTCTGCCCGGTGTCGGGACTGGTGGGTCCCGAATAACATCCCGTCACTCGAGAGACGGTAGATAACCAGATTGTGCACGACAGAGAAATCTGGAGTAAGGAGGAAAGAGAGAGAAAAGACAAAGGATTAGGCCACATGAGGAAGTGATGCCCTGGGGTGAAAGCCGCAGGAGGAAAAGACCAGCGACGACAAGCAGGTAAGCGCGAGGACGGGGGCACATACAACATAGCATGAGGCCAGGAGGGCCGTTGGAATTCCACAGATTCTTTTGGAGATACCAAATCTTGGTCCTCTTCTGGTTCAGTGGGATTTTAAGGATCTCGTCGTTCAACCAATTATGTTGCTCAAGCTACTGCTGAGAATGTAGCGCATGCTGCTATTCCATTAGGAATTAAGTCAGTTGAAGTGAGAATCAAAGGTTTAGGTTACGGAAAGCCTTCGGCCTTACGTGGTTTACAATTAGGAGGTTTTATTATAACCAAGGCCAAGGGGCCCTTGAACCAGCAAACGCGGTACGGCAGCAACAGAAGAATGAGGAAGTCGAGAAATGGACGGCCACCAGGGCGGTGGGAAACTGGAGAACAAGGGCCCAAAGTGGGGGCCGCCTGCGGGAGCCTCGGGTTGGAGGCCCCGCGACAAAAAGGGCCGGCGCGCGCAAGGCACAAGAAAGACAAGGGAGAGAGGTCACTGTGGGGCGGCAAAGCGTCCAAGGGACGTGGGACACCTTGGGGAAAGGCACCCGGGGCCACGTGGGACTAAGTAAAAATAATCGTATCTGGGGCAAAATGTGTCGGGGACCACCGGTGGGACTAAGTGTCGGGGACCACCAGCGGGACTAAGTGTCGGGGACCATCGACGGCCTACACCGCAGTGGGGTCGACTAAGGCTCGAAAGTCTACCAGGGTTTGGCCCTACACCGGCCTCTTGATATAGCGGCCTACTTGCCTCCTGGGCGGTGACTTCCAGGCCGCTCGGCCTCCCCAAGCAACCGGTACTTCCTTCGTTTCGAAGGGAAACATCATTGCAGACCCCGGCCTCTTGATATAGCGGCCTACTTGTCTCCTAGGCGGTGACTTCCAGGCCGCTCGGCCTCCCCAAGCAACCGGTACTTCCTCCGTTTCGGAGGGAAACATCATTGCAGACCCTGATATTGCCCGTACAGGCTCTAGACCCAGACTGGTTGGACTAGTACCGGCCTAGACCTACCCTACCGCTACTGGACTCTAAAAATGCCAACTTTGTCTTCTGCTCGGACTCCAGTCCCCTCACGCCAACTGAAGTGGGGTGCAGTTTCGGCCTACCTGCCTACTTAAGTGTTTTTCCGCTATCCCAAGGCCGCGGGGCCGCTAGCTTCGCCACTTGAGTGTTTTTCCCTGGTACAACCCTCAATGCCATGGCCACAGGTAAGTACCGGCCCTACGGGCCTGCCAAACAAGCAAGTACCCTTGAGGGTCACACACACACTCATACCGACAAACACTCTGACAAGCGCGCAGGTCACAAGCACGCACACTCAGACAGACTTAGAAAACACAGCAGAATGCGGAAATCTCAGCTATGCATCCATTCCATCAGCAGAACTTCAGAAATCAGCAGTGTTCTCAATCTGTGTTATGACGGGTCATTACACTACCCCCCCCTCAAGAGCGAGGTCCCTTCGAGCGGGTAACTCAATCAGAGTCCTTGGATAATGCATCATAGGCGTAGATAGCAAAGAGAGATCGGGTGTGTTCCGTAGGAGTCAGGGTAGCAGTGAATTTTGGTTGCTGTTCATAACTTATCAATCGTTCATAGGCGTTAACGACGCGCGGTGCACTCTGCAGTAAATCCTTCTTAGCAATGCAGTAGAAATCATCCAACGGGTGGTATAGAAAATGGACTTTGTATTGTCTGTTTCTTCCCTTCCCACCGTGCTCGAAAATCCTATCAATCTCGTGACCGCCATTGATTGCGCGGGGAATCATCGATTCTCGATACTTGAAAGTTTCAGGTGATTCATACGGAAACAACTTCGATGCGTGAAAGACTGGATATGTACGCAGATGAGCAGGCACATCGATCGTATACGAAGGGCCAAAGGAATCACTCCCTACCTGGTTCAACACCTTCCACGAACCGTAGTATTGAGGAAGAAGCTTTCGTGATACACCTTCTTCTTCAGAAAACTCAGACATTTTGACCCAGACATAACTTCCCACTGTGAAAGGTGCAGGCTGGCGCTTTTTGTTAGCATGTTTAATCATGGCATTGCGTCGCCTTTCCATAGCTGCGACAACAACTTTGAGCAGGCGATCAAACTTAGCGTTGTAGCCTGGCTGGCCAGGTGTTAGGCCAGGTGGCTGTTCAGGGAACATATAAGATGCAGCCGGTTAGGCGTCATCCCGGTAGAGGAGTGGATGGAGTTGTTGTACAACCCCTGCACAGGCAACTCCTCATCCCAAGAGTTCTGATCAGGTACAATTAGAGCCCTGAGAAGTTGGATCACAGTCTGGTTGATCTCCTCGGCCAGTCCATTGGCTTCGGGATGTCGACCAGACGTCATCTTGAGTTTCATGTCGTAGGTTTGGGAGGTGAAATCTTTCCAATCTGCACTTATGAACCTGGTATCCCGATCACTCACAAGAGTCTTCGGGGGCCATAGTGCAGAATGTATCTCTTGTTAAACTCATTGATCACAAGGTCAGTTGGGGCGTGAGGTGGCAGAGGATCAAATTCAGAAATTTCGAGAAACGATCAACGATCACCATTACTTGTGAATAACCGTTTCTGCTCTTCTTCCCCATGTCCGTGAAGTCAATGAAAACAACCCCACCAGGGCCATCAGGGATAGGAAGAGGGTGCAACATCCCATAGGGCTTCTGTCGATACGGTTTGATGCGCTGACAAACTTCACACTCAGCCACAAACCTTTGTGCCATTCTTTTCATTCCAGGCCACACAAACTTTTCCAACAGATTTCCGTATGTCTTCTCAACACCGAAGTGTCCACTCTGGCCGTGAGCCAAATCCAAGAAGTGGGTCATGATCGGCTCATGGTTGGGCACACACAATCGGTCACGCTTCCCGTAGCGTCGGAAGAGAAGGCCCTTACATTCATGGAAATCGGGTTGACTGCTAGGGTCAACCCGAATCTGCTCAAGGATGGGACTGAGTTCCGGATCCTTGGCAGTATGCTCGATGAGTTCCTCCTTCAAATTTTTACGCAGGTCATAGGAACCCACAAGGCAAGTCATGTACTCAGGGTGGCGAGACAAAGCATCCGCAACACGATTGTAACAACCCTTCTTGTGTCTAAGTTCGAAATCATACATAGCAATCTCATGCAGCCAGCGGGTCAGTGTAGTTGAGGGATTGTTCTGTGTCCGAATCCATTTCAAGGTCTCGTGATCTGAGAACACTTTGAAATGGCGATCCAACAGATAGTGCTTCCAATGGTCTAGTGCCTCGCTCAAGGCATAGAGCTCGCATGTAAGTGGATGCAACTACCTTGTGACTGGGCATACGTTTGCTGTAAAATTCTAGCGGACGTAAGCCGTCGCCGTCATGTTGTTGTAGCACTGCACCAATCCCATACAAACTGGCATCCGTAGTTACTACGAATGTGAGTTTGGGATCTGCAATGCGGAGCACCGGATGACTCACCAAAGCCTCCTTAGTGCTTGGAAGGTTGTCGTGCATTCCCCATCCCATGTGTAGGATACAATCTTGCTGGTCAATCTGGACAGCGGACGGGCGATGATAGAAAATTTAGGCACAAACTTACGGTAGTATGATGCAAGACCAAGAAAAGAACGCAACTCGCGGACATTCGCCGGTTGAGGCCATTTTTGGATGACCTCAACTTTGGTTGCCTCGGGCTCTAGGCCTGCAGCAGACAACCGATGTCCAAGGTAAATGACGCTGTCCCTCCCAAACTCAGATTTCTCCAAGTTGAGATGGAGTTGCGCGTCCTTAAGGATCTACATCACTTCCTCAAGGTGTCTCATGTGCTCCTCCATCGATTTGCTGAAGAGTAGTATGTCATCCAGATATACAGCAACAAATCGGTTGATCTGATTGCGAAATACCTTGTCCATGAGACTTTCAAAGGTGGCTGGCGCATTCGTGAGACCGAAGGGCATGACTGTAAATTCGTACAGCCCATCGCGAGTTTTGAATGCAGTTTTATGCTGGTCTGCGGGATCGATTTCAATCTGGTGATAGCCAGACTTGAGATCGATCTTGCTGAAGACCTTGCATCCACCTGCAGCATCAAGCAAATCATCAATACGTGGCAAAGGATATGCATTCTTTCTTGTGATTCGGTTCAATCCGCGGTAATCAATACACATCCGTAGTTTGCCTCCTTTCTTAGGGACAAACAGAACCGGTGCACCAAACTCAGACTCACTCGGTTTGATCCATCCCTTCCCAATCATATCATCAATCTGCCTTCGCAACTCCTCCAATTCGCCTGAGCCCATTCGATAGACACAACCTTTTGGAGGAGTGTTACCTTCAATCAACTCGATCTTGTGTCGGACCGGACGCATGGGAGCTCCATGCGGTTCGGCCAAGACTTCAGTGAGAAGGTTGCGAATTTCCGACGGAACTTCCGGAGGGGGATCATCACTCTCAGAAGCAACCATATCGGATGTAATAGGTGCAACCAACACCACAGGATTAGAAATAAAGTCATTTGGTTTAGAGATGGATTTAGTAGAGGTAGAAGTAGTTGCATAAGAAGTAGAAACAGCATGCAAGGTAAAATTGTTATGTACAGCAAAAATGGAAGGCACATGAGCAGGCCTAACAAAGGCTATATACATTTGCTCATCAACTTTGCGCCTGCGCCACTTTTTGCAGAATTGCATTGCATTGAGAAAAGTTACTTGGGACTCACGCGACTCATCCAAGAGAACTGGACGCTCGATCCCCATGGCATCTTTGACCATGAATTGTGAGTCCTTCCACGTGGTTCTTTCACATTGGGCCTGCAACCAGCCCAAGCCAATAACCGCGTCGAAGGGGCACTGATCAAGGACATAGAAGTTCAGTTCATGCGTGATCGTGCGGTCAGCGTCAAAGGTAGTGCGCACACCTTTGACTTCATGCGTAGATGTGACAACCTCTCGGTTGCCCACTTGGGTCCGGCAAGGATTCTGCAAGGTCACTTGCTTCATCCCCAAGCGTGCCTTACGAATGCCGTGCGGTGAGAAGTAGTTGGCGGTTGCACCACAATCAGCCAACACACGGATGTAACGGCCATTAATGTAGAGTTTGGAGAAAATCAACTTCGTTCTCCCTTGCGCTCGTTCTTGCTTCATATGAGCCCAACGCATCGACAGAGCATGGAAGTCAATTTCTTCCGACTCTACCCAAGGCTCCTTGTATAGGATGTGTATTTTCTCAACCTTGGAATCAGCATCAGATGGGGTCTCAGGAGAGGTTTGCTGAGTGGGATCAGAATCCAGAGAAGGATCTGCACTTACATGTTCAGCCTCTCCATCTATAGAGTGTGTTGATGATGTCTCTACCCCCGTTGCTGGTTTCCCTGCTGCAATCTGAAAAAATGTTGGACTGAGTGTCCTGGTTTGGTGCAGTGCAGGCAAACCCCTTTCTTCACCCTGTGTTTCCACTCACTTTCACTGATCCGGAGATCTACCCATGGTTTGGTGGCAGGATCTTCCGGTTTGGGTGGAATTTTCGCTCCCTTGGGATGAAGGATAGTGTTAGTATTGTTCTTCACTGTGGTCCGTGGTCCCTTACTTTTGAAGGCAGTCTTTTTGAAGGCATTCATAGATTTTTCGTCATTCACACAATCAGACTCATGGGCTGACGAAGAGCAAGATGCCTCGCAGCCTTGCTCTTGATCGTCATCAAGAGAAGGATCCTCTGCGAAGGTTTCCTCGTCATCCTCAAGCAGATCGTGCGCTGAAAAACGATTGCTGCTTGGGAACCGTTTGCGACCGGTGGACTTTTTGCCACCCGATCCACCCGGGAGGACTTATGCCTCAAGCTTGACTAAGTCCCGCATGAGGGTAAGCCAATCTGTATATGCGTTGAGTTCGAGCCCCAGGAGATGTGTTATAGTACAGGGGACCGTGCCTTTTAGCACATCCAAGAAAGACTGCGCAGTCATTTCCAACTCAGGAGTAGCAAAAAGTTTATTAACATACTGCTGCAGACTATGCATGGTGCCGGTCCACTTGCTGTGCTTGAGCTTGTCAAGCTTGAGTCTAGCTTTGGCTGCAGCATGTGGATCAGCATACTGTTTGATCAAGAGTTCCTCGAGTGTAGCTACAGGCGTAGCCTTCAGCCATTTGTTCAGGTCTATTCTCTTATAGCCTGCTTGTACAGCTTGGATTTCCAAGAATCCTCTTACGGCGGGTTCCACATTGGTCCCTAGGACCGACGACTGAGTAACTGGGAGTATCCCCAACACATCGAAGTAGGATCGCATGGAGCTGATCCAAGATTCGATGTCGTCCTTTCCGTCATACTTAGACGGAATCTATGTCGCCTTTCTATCCATGTAAGGAAAGTTGCAGCTTGGACCAGCGGCTGCTGGGTCCGAACTCGGGACTGCAACAGTTCCAGAATGCCCTGCACTGCTACTTGCTGCAGCAGCAGAGGGGTCTGGACTTGCTGCAGATCCGGATAGGTTACTAGTCACACTCAAAGAAGAAGAAGAAGTAGACGAAGACACATTCAGACGGGCAAGAACGGACTGACACGCAGCACTAGAAGCAGGGTAAGCAGGCGGAAGGATAGTTTGGGCTGGTTGCACATTAGCGAACTGTTGTAGTTGGTCACGGTGCTGCTGCGCCATCACGGCCATGTCTTCTCGCAACTTCTTGAGTTCGTCGAACACTTTGGTGAGTTGGCCAGTAAGGTCCTCAACAACCCGGACTTCTACCAACGCCCGGAGGAGTGGAACGATTTTCTCTTCCACCTCCGCATGGGTTAGGGCAGGCAAGGTACAGAAAATGGCTTCATGAGCCTTTACCTTCTCCTCCCTCTCCTTCTCCTTCTCCTCCTCTTCCCTCTTCAATGCTTTCTTGTAGAAGAATCGGTACTGCGCTTTTTCTGCCTCGGGGGCAGCGTCCATTTGCAGCTTCCATTCTGCTGCAGATGCCATAGTGGAGGATGAGGGCGTTAGCAAGTTTCTCAAGAGGGGTCCGTACTTCCTCACACTTCTGGGACGAACACTCCTCTTCCCTCTCCTCACTCCCTCAAGAGCAATTCTCATAAGCTTCTCTCTTCTCTGTCTCTCTCTTGTTTGCAACCGTGTAGACGCACGCATTTAACGAACCACGTCAAAGAAACAGTTTTGAAAACAATCAGAAGAGAAGGTAGAACTCCTAGCCGGAGCGGCAATTCATTTGGACTGGAGAGCGGTCAAAACAGCAAAAAAAGAAAAGATCAGAGAGATCTGATCCAGCCACACAGTCTGGACCGACTACGTATGAGGTCCTCTCAAGCCTAGCCGAACTCAGCTCCGTGAAAACGCAGCAAATCAGATTCAAGGTGTACAACGAAATGCAAGAGAGAATTGAGTGGTGCCCAAGGTGCGAGTCAGGTGGCGGATTGTGCGGCTGATAAAACGTCCCAATGAAGATCCTCTCCGCAGCGAGTGTCCTGGTCCGAAAGCATAAAGTCCGAGTCCCAATCAGATAGAGCAAGGTAACTGACGTCAACAGATTTGGCCTGAGGGGCCCTTCTTGTTTGGGCCTGGTCCCACTAAGTCCCAAATGGTCCTAGTGGAGTCAGAACCGGGTCCCAACCAACAAGAGTTCCACAAAGACCTACTCTGTCCCTACCGAATTGCAAAACGAAATTTTGCCCCAGAAAGAACCTATAGACTGCAGCCGTTCAGAATGAAATAAACAAAGTACTGTAGAGAGATATCGCATGGCTAGCAAGATACTCCATTCATTCACTCGTCAGGTGAGTAGGTAGTTCACACACCTCACACACAATCAAGACTATGGAGGATGGAAGAAGAACCCAGAGAACCCCAACAGGCAGTCAATTCCATGCACACACACATGGGCACCCTGGTGGCACGGCACTAACCTGAGTGGCCGGGCTCTTGAGATGAAAAGAACTCACCCCCCTCTCACATAGTCCTCCTGACCCAATTAGCATCCTCTACACTAGTGTCCTATCATCTAGGAGGGTCAACATCTACCCCAAAGTACAAAGCCCGATCCCCCGTCAATGTTGAAGATCAAAGCAGCAACTTGCAGTCCGTAGGTGCAGATATGGCTGCCACCCTCAAGCTCGCCTGACTTGAGGGGAGCCCTGATATTCATTACTACAATATTCATGAATATATTGATTACTATAGAAGAATCTATATTCTTCTATTTCTTAATAAATTGAATTTGAGTATTGGCCTGACTTGAGGGGAGCCCTAAAGTCACTCCTCGTCTTCCTTGAAGTCCAGATTCAAGTTGTAGGTGCCCTTCACTGTCGCCTCTCTCAAATTGCATCACGAAGTCCCACCTTGTGTCTCGCCACCACAAACATGCACTCAAACAACCTGGCCGGGTCTAGTGTCGACCCTACACGACCCTGCCAGGTGGGAGCAGCTTCCCTTCACCACGCTGCCCCACTTAACCCTAACTTCCAGCCCTAACCCTAAGTGGTTAGCCCTTACCACTAGGGTTAGGGTTATGGCAGCAAAGTCAACTCTCGCCAGCAAGTAGAATCCGCTCCGATACCAATGTTACGATCCTCGCCAATTTCGAAGTATACATTCATTTGAAAGTACAATGCCATCCAATTGCAAAAAGAAATGAATGAACCTGAGAGGAAAGAGAGGGAAAGAAGAAGAAGAAGAAGAAGTGAGAAGAAAGAAGATGATGATGTACTCCAGCATAGACCAATGTCAAGGCCTATGTTGCACGCTGGCCGCGGCCGGGTTCGGCCCAGGCCGCGGCCGGCGGCCTAGGCCGGGACCCCCCCGGCCGAGTTCTTTCGGCCGCTGCCGTGGCAGATTGGGGAGGGGGGTTTGGGAGAGGGAAGCAGGTTTCGAGTCGGGGGGGGCTCCCCTACCCCCTCGCAAAAAAAAAAACATAAAAACTTCAAAAACGGGGGGGCGGAATCTGGGGAGTTTTTGAGGGGAGGCAGATAATTTTGGAGCCAAAAAAAAAAACGATTTTTTTCAGTTTTTTTCTTTTTTCTTTTTTTTGATTGATTGACTGATTGATTGATTGGTGGGGG